GTCCAACCACATCCTCCATAGGGTTGTATTGAGGATATTTTCTCTATAGGAAATCCCCCACCCCACCCCAAATCTGGATCAATTTCCAATCTAGCTACTTTTACTGACTTTTTCTCCTATATTAAACTGGTCCCATTCTGTCTGTTCTTGGAAAGTTATTCTTGCTGATAGATGGCTGGATAGAAAATACCTTAAATCCCTTTACATTATTTCTTTCCAACATTCCATTGAATTGAAAAGAAAAGATAGAAAAGAGAAATTGAATAAAAACATTTGAAAGTTAATTTTACTATTATTAGAGTCTTCATCTCCTTCTGCCAAAGCCCAATGGAATGACTGTTGAGCAAAAGGAAAGGAAATTCCATTGGAGTTTGTTTCTTAGAAGACCACCTCAAGCAGAATTGCTCTTTGCTATTGTTTTTGTTGTTATTCCTGAAGAATCAGTGATGATTTGAGCACTTTTTTTTTTTCAAAAGAAGCAATAGCTGGATATGACAAGAAGTTAATATTAAGTATTGGATATCAACTGACAAGGAGATAGATAGACAAGGGATTTTTCTCTCTCTAAGAACTAAGCTAGGTAAACATCATTCAGAACTGGTTTAGGTAAAGTAAACCTTGTCTCTTTGTTACAGATGATGGTTGAATGATATATGATGGTTGACCTCTGTGATTATCTTCACAAATACATTTATATCTCCAATAGGAGAGAATAGGCAGCTCAGGGTTAAACTATGGAGACGTTGGTGCTGTCTGAATTTTGGCTGTTATGGAGGGAGGGTTATTATGGAGAAAATATCCCCAATACAACTGTACAGAAGAAGTGATTGGGCAATGGTTCAGAACATTGTTGACTCTATGATTCTAAGCTCCGCTTCTTCCCATTCACAAGACTTATAGTTCTTATTTGCTTAAGTTTTATATTGTCTCCCAACTCCAAATGACGGACAATAACTAAAAAACGGCAAAAGCTTCCTTCTGCAAATATGTAGTGCACTGATAATGTTACCTAGTTGGGTAATGAAACATCTGCAAGCAAACAGCCAAGCTCAGACAGCATCACATTTACAGATATTTGGCTTGCTGAGACAGTACTTTAAAGTTAATATTATTTTCCTGGACACCCATCAGCATGTTAATGATTATGCAGCATAATAACATGTGCATCTCCACTGCAGCATCTTTTGCTTCTGTAAACAAGCTTGGGTTAAAATTTAGGCTTGCAACTATTCTATATGGTCATGGCAGTGTTTTCATTTTTTCATGCAATTAATATTCATTCATCCATGCAGAGGATATAATTTACTATTAGTTTCTAATTTCATAAAGTCTGAGCAGAAAAAAAAATCAAAGGCAAAGTTACAATTTTAAAAATGTTATAAGAAAAAGATTTCCTCAGAAACTTCCTAACACCAGCTTTGAGATATTGGACAATTGTCAAATATTTTTAAAAATGAGTTCTTACAATGCATAACTCATACAGAGATTATTTGTACATTATGTGCATACTGCAGATAAATATTTAGAAAAATAGTTTAAATATCTTTAAAAAGATAAATATTTTCCTCATGTAATTCCTTTTGCTATTATTAAAAAAATGTTTGAAAAGGTTAGTAGAGATTCTTTTTAAATCCTGCTTTTGTGAAGAGTCAAGCAACAAATTATGCAATAAAAAGGAAAATAATTTAAGAGCAACCCCCCCATACCCTGTCCTACCACCATCAATCTTAGCCAGAAAAACTTCTTTCATCTCAGACAGAACAATGGATTTGTAACCTTACACATCTGGACCACATTAGGCTGGAGAATGCTGCTCTAGACACTGTTATGAAAATGAGGTTGTGTTTCTTTCTCCTGGAAAATGTTAATGTATTCATTCTGTCCTATTTTGGCATTATTAAATTCAGAGAAAATCAGTAAGCCAGACAGGGAAGCTCCACTGCCATCTTGTGCTGTTAAATTTGCAGGCCAATGCAAAAGAATGAATAGGGCACAGCAGTTGGATCCCTTCCTTGACTGTGATAATAATGACTGCTTCTTTGATGGGGAGCTTGGAGATGGTGTTGGCTTGGTCTCGGCCTTGCTCTTCTGGAAGGGTGGGAGACTGACATGGATAGAATGAAAGAAATAGCTAGATTTTTTAAACCATGTTTTACATCCCAGAGTTCCTGATTCCAAATAATACTGAATTACACTGAGCCCCCAAATCCCAAACCATATTATGGCTTAACATTATATATAAACTAGGTATGATGAACTTTAATTCACACAGAAGATCATCTGAACATTTACAAAGGCAAACATTGATTAAATATTACTATTTTGAATTTCTACTATGGATAAAGACTGGATTTTTTTTTTTAACCAAGAAGAGGAAGCATCATTTTGTTTGTTACAATATCCAAGTCTGTAAAATTGTCTCGTTCTTTCTTATCAAGTTCCATTTTTGTTCTCTAGCAGCTCTTATAAATAAATAGCCTGTTTCTGGGTCATGTCCATGCTGTATTGTAAGGAAGGGATAAGAAATTATACTGAAATCTTTATTTTAAGATATGCTTTTATAATAAAATCCTTTTTGAAGGCAATGGTTTGCTCTCTTGACTAATTCTGTTGGTATCCCCTCACCATTGTAGTTCATTAATACATTCTGTCTGTTTCTGCAATAATCTGATTTTTTTTAAATAAATCTCTCCAAAACGTTTATTTTTATATGTATTTTCACACAAACAGTCATAAATATTTTTTCCTCAAAGTTCATAAGTTGCATGCAAATTCAAATAGCACTTTAGTGCATTTTGGGAGATATTATGAACAAAAAAACTCCAGGGAAATGGTTTTCAATTCTTCCAGTTCTTTATCTACTTCCATTTTTTCCCCTAGACTAAATTCTCAGCTGAGCTTATGATGTTTTTTTCAAAGTCAAATGGTCAGGAACTCATTGTTGATAATGAAATGTTCAATATTGTCTATTATCTATTCTTCTCCTGTCTCTAATTGCACAATATTTATTGATATTGTTTGGACATTTTAATGTTGTTCCTTTGTTTTTAAAACTTAATAAATAAAAAAGATAAGAATTATAAAATTATCAGAGTAATTATTTTAACATTTTATATTGGTTCTTGGAAAAGAACAAAAATGGTTTTAAAACCCTGTCAGAAACATTATATTCCTCATAACAGATAGAACTGAATTTTCTGCTATTAAAGACAAAAAACAATTAAGCATAACATTTACCTATTCTTGTACATGTAATCTTCCCAAATTCATGGTTCTAACTATTTTTCTGCACCACTATTATAACAAAAACTAAATAAATTTTAAAAGATTATATGGATTGCTATTTCAGGGCATTTTTTAAAATCCTGCTAATCATTCAGAATCGGTAGTTACATACCTGCCATCCTGAGAAGATCTATTGCAATTACATTTCCAGAAGTCCCTGAATTGAGCCCTTCAAAAATAGCTTAGCTTATCATTACTTTCTATTCAGGGATGAACCACTTTTGTCTAATAATACTAATCTAGAAATAACACTGTGTAGAATCCTATGATATTAGTCAAGTATGAATATTAAACTAAATTAGTTGGATGATGATAAAGATGATAATGATAGTCTCAGATATCATCTCTATATTATATAGAAGTGTGTGTGTAAACTTTGCTTTATAAGATAAGAAATTCATCTAATTGCCCTGCAGCTACTTGTGCATATAATTATCATCCCACAACTTTCCTTCCTTCTGTTTAAATAAAGGGAAAACCACAGAAAAGCCTCTATTAATTTCTTCTTTCAACAGAGACTGCATGAATAGAAAAAAAATTCTGAGATTTTTCATCAGGCAGTGAAAAAATGATTGAGTGAATGTATCATAAGGTTCTGCTGTATTCACATGAAGTTCAAGAAGATTTTTTCTTAGAGAATCTTGCACTATAATTCATAAACAATGTGAGGCCTATTATTTCTAGGGAAAAGATTCAGTCAGCTGAAAGCTGCTGAAATACAATATTTGTCAACCTGTTGGTTAAAGTGGTGTTCTGTGCACAGCCTTCCAACAACTCTGGCAGACTTGCAGAGTAGTTTGGGTGAGCATAGCTTTCGCCAGGGGTATTTTTGTTAAGCACAACAAGAGTCAGAAAAATACTGAATTTGACATGGCTTTAAGAACCTTTCCAGGTGACTTACCTGTCATATATTGGAGTATGAAAAAAGCTTATTGAGGAAAAAAAGGACTCTTAGAAGATTAAGACTGTTCAATTCAGACTTAATCAACAACTGAGCATAACCGAATCTCAGTTCATTAGTAAGGCCCATAATGTAAGAAATGAAGTCAATTCAGGACAATTGTCTCTCAAGGCTAAGAGAGCAATCCAGTATCTGCTAATTTGGAGAAGCAGGAACAGGCTTAGAATTTAAACATCGGAGAGAGCAAACCTTCTTTATGTATAGTATAAAGTTTCTTTCTTGTCTGCAGTAAAGAAACTAATCTTGTTGTGTGATGCATGTGAGTTTTCTATTGAATACGTCACACCAAATAAAGGCTGAGCATCTGGAGAGCTGAGATTTTTAGTTGTCTCTGTGAGAAGCCTAATTTATAAGTTAGTAAAGGCTTAGTAAATTCTTCATTGTGTGGCTGAATTTGCGCAGACATGAAACATTATTGTAGATGTAAAAACAACCTTTCCAAGATTTGTTGACAGTTTACTATCGCTGTGCTGTCCAATTATTTTATGTGCACATTGTTAGGGAGCAGAAAACAAAAACAAAAGGAAACCAGAAAGGTTTATAAGACGGGAGATGATAAGAACATGTCAAAATATTAGACTGGTTGCAGTTTCAAAGCAACAAAGAGGAAGACTAGATCCCTATTTCAGATTTTGCCTTGCTTAGCTTTTTAAATGCAAATATTATTATTATTTTTTTTTAAAAAAACATAGGTTTTGAAACAAGAAGGAAGAAAAAAATGTGTTATATAGAGGTGCATTGTCAAAGTACTTACTTTGGGTTCCCAGCGCCTGGCTTCTTTCTCCGGAATATGCTGAGGAAAGTGTTGGACCTACAAGGTGTCTTGCCATCCCCGACATGCATACGCACCACATCGGAAGTGGTGAAGGCACTGCGGACATTCCTTTCGGGCTTTGCAATGATGATATACATCTTGGGAGTGAACATGCACCCCAAGGCAACTGTCACACTCAGGCTCACGGCAAAGCAAGTTGTAATGATCTTGTAGTTGCTCCCAAAGTATATAGGTACAAAGGCAAGCCAAATGATGCACGTTGTATACATAGTGAAGGCAATATACTTGGCTTCATTGAAATTGGCCGGCACGTTGCGAGTTTTGAAAGCATAGTAAGTGCAACTCATGATGAGAAGTCCATTGTAGCCCACTGGGGCAACCACACCTAAGTTGCTGGTGTTGCAGATCAGAAAGACTTCCTTGATACTGGGGTAGGAAAGGATGGGGAAAGGGGGCTCCATGATGATCAGTGTAATCACCAATGTCAGCTGTACACTGATCAAAATGGAGGCAATGACTACTTGGGTCCAAGCACTCATGAAGCGTGGTTTGCGGGTGCAAATTTTTTTCTTGCTCCCTGCCAGAATGCGTGCAATGCGGTTGGTTTTTGTTACAAGGGCAGAGTAGCACATGGCAGAGGAAAGCCCCACCAGGAGACGCTGGAGGTAGCATGAAGTGATTGTGGGCTTAGCAATGAGAGTGAAAGGGCATATATAACCAAGGAAGATCCCCGCAAGTATTATGTAGCACAGCTCCCGGCTAGAGGATTTGACGACAGGGGTATCCCTGTACAGTGCAAATATAAGGGTAACAAACATGGTGACCAGGATGCCCAGGCAAGAGAAGACCACTGCTACAATGGACTCTATGTCACTCCACTGCAGATACTTTACAGGGATAGGTTGGCAGCCTACAGGATAGAAAAAAGAGAGAGAGAGAGAGAGAGAAAAGAAATGATTGGATAAGCAGACAAATATTTCAAAATAAAGAGCTCCTTTGGGATTCCTAAAGAGCAGTTGCATAACATAAGTGATCCTGCATTCATATCAAAACAAGCAATTTTTGCACGAAAGATAGTAAAAAAAGCTTCATCTAATTATGTCATGCCACTGATAGGACAAAATCTGCCAACAGAATAGATGATTTTTCCTCCTTCCCGCTCCCTAAGTATTTGCTAAATCTTCTCCATCAATTTGGACAGAAGAAAGGGAACACAATGGAAAGCTGCTACACGAGCACAAATTCTCTTGTGTATCATTGTTGTAATCTCTTACTCCACATAAAAAAGAATAGACCCTTCTTAATTTGTTCATAGCAATTTGAAGAAGAGAACTAAAGTTTTCAAAATCTATTGTTTTCTAAACTTTATACTTACAACTTCAAGGCCAACGAACATTCCCAAGACAGCATTCAGACCAAACAGATGTTAGTTACAGTTTCTATTTAGTAACACATAGATAGAAATTAATTCTCCTGCCAACATATTTATTTACCTTCTGAGACATTTACAGTATATAAGACAATTAGAGAGCAGAGGCATTTAATTTTTAAAGTGGTTGGACATTTTGATTATTACTTAGACAACATTCCTGACTATTAAAAGCAATATTAAGAATAGGGTTTTTTAAATAGAAAAAATGCATTTCAATCCTTATTTTACATGACAGCATTATCTATACAATTATTTATCTGCATAGCTTGTAATCTGGACAGCCAGAAATCCAGCTGCTTCAGTTTCATTAACTGTCAAGATAATACTATTTTTTGTTCATTTGTTTTACCTAAATGAAACCCTGCATTCAGTTTCTAGAGAAAATAGGAATAAAAGATCTACTAGGCTAAGGGTACATGAGTGGGATACATCATCCTATTTATGCTGATTGCCCAGTTTGGGCACTAATTTATTTGGTCAACAGTCATGAGTTTGATAATATAGGCACGGGTATATAAAGTTTCAAATGAATGCTTCGTATATTATAAATGCCTGCTGAGCAGAAGAAAAAGCCAAATTAATTTCCAACAAATATAGGAGTTGGATGGTTTAAGCCGTTATTGCCACCAACAGTTTTACTCCCTCACAATGTTCCAATAATCTCAATGCTTCCCTACAATTGTAATGATACATGTGGTGAAAACTAACTGTAAATTTTAAACTCTTAAAAATTCACAGCAACTTCAGGTTTTGGAGTGCAAAAATTGTACAGAATCAATCTTATTTATGATCGGACTATCAAAAATAAATGCTGTTGTTCTTTGTTTAAAGCAAATTATTAATTCAAATTATTTGTAGTTTCCAGGGTGGTATAACTAACAGCAGTATGCACAAATACCAGTTTCCTGGTAAAGGTATTGCTAAAAGCATTCCTGGGTTCTTATCTTTTCTCCAGGAACGTAGTAGCAGGTGTAGCAATTCTTCATCATATTTTTTTCCTCAAGAAACTTGTACTTATACCTTGTACCTGGAATCTGGCTGATTGAGTGGAGAGATAGCAGCTGACCCAAACTGTCCTGTGAACTTTCATGGCTGAGGGAACCTGTGTCTACCCTATTGCAGCCCAGCATTTTAACCACTATGACATATTGGTTCTTGAATCATAGAGCAAGGGGGACTGAGCAGCAGGCAGGAAGAACACGCAGATCTCTTCTGTGTCATTCTTGGGGTGGGATAAGGAGAAGAACGGAATAGCAACTGGAAGCAAAGTAGAACAACGCTCCTAGGAAGTGAAGTGAATGTTAATGTGATTGATCAGAGGTAAACATGGCTTAGATTTTTTAGCAAGCTTGAGTTTGTGCTGGAAATCCATTGGGTTCTGTAGTGCTAAGTGTTTCCTACCTATGCCAAATTCTTGAGCTAATTATCCTAATTTCCATTGTCAGATGTGTTCAGAAATGAATTAGAAGGCCATGGAGTTAATTAAGGGCTGATAAGACAGTTCAGGTAATGGTATGAGGAAATGACCTTGAGAAATAAGAAGGTAGAGCTGCAGCTTAGATAAGTCTGATTAATAACAACTGAGACAGAAGGAGGCATAAGGGTGAAGAAAGTGTTATAGAAGCTGCACTCCCTAGTTTTGGGGAAAGTAAAAGTAAGGAGGGGGGAAGTACTTTCAGACTTGCAAGATTCTGTTACTGCTATGACCCTACAATAAAGATAGTGTTAATACTCATGGTTTGTCTTTGTTATCTGAACTGCCGGAAAGGCTGATGATTTCTAATCCCAGTGTCTATGATACTTTGAGTAATTTTATATTATTCCAGATCAGTGGTGGGATTCAATTTTTTTACTACCGGTTCTGTGAGTTTGGCTTGGTAGGCGTGGCAGGGGAAGGATACCGTAAAATCTCCAGTCAGAGGTGCTATTTGCCGGTTATCCGAACTACTCAAAATTTCCGCTACCGGTTCTCCAGAACTGGTCAGAACCTGCTGAATACCACCTCTGTTCCAGCTGTAAATATTCCAGAAGTCAAATAAAGTTCACATCCTATCATAGAAGCTCATTCGCCTCCATTAATATTCTCTGTAGTAAGATATATACAATTTTCATGTGGAAGATAAAATATTACAACCGACTGTCTGAAACTAACTACATGTATTATTCTGGCTGTCAATTTTTTAATTTGGGAAAAGAACTTGTTTCATTCAGAATTTCTAAAGGTAAAGGTTTCCACAGTCCAGTCATGTCCAACTCTAAGGGGTGATGTTCATGTTCATTTCTTAGCTGAGGGAGCCAACATTATCCGAAGACACTTTCTTGGTCATATGGCCAGCATGACTATACACTGAGGCACACAGAATACCTTCCTACTGAAGTGGTACCTATTTATCAACTCACATTTGCATGCTTTGAATTGCTAGGTTGGCAGGAGCTGGGGCAAATAATGGGAGCTCACCCTGTTGCGCACCACTCCGGTCTTGAATCCAGGATGTCCACTTTCTTAGCTGACAAGTTCAGTATCTTTAACCGCTGAGCCATCACACCCCTTCAGACTTTCTAGCATATGTTAACTTGGAACGATGGCTTCTTTTGATTTTTTGAAGTGTTTCTTTTTAATTTTACTGCATAATTTTAACTGACACCATTATAAATTAACTTAGTAACAATCCATATTGAAGTATTACTGTTAGGCATCCAGAATTGTCCATGGTAATCAATCACTCCGAGACAAGTATATAAATCTCTGATTTATTAGGAACAACTCTGGTACTTCTATTGAATTTCTAAACCAAAAGTCATTTTCAGCACATTTCACAAAATCCACCTTCTCTCCCACTTCTTACACTTCATTAATCATGAGAACCAATTAACTGCAGCTGGATTTTTTTAATGCGACATACGAAATAACCTTGAACTTTCCAACTCCTCCACCCTCCTTTGCATTCCTTATACCAATCTTGGCAGCTGAATCTCAGAGCGGACAATTGCAATATGTCCCACACGATGCTTTCTTTGAAAATTTTGTTAAACTTGAATTGAACTTAAATGCAAGAGCTTATATTCCTATTACTCTGATCCTACAGCAATTGCATTGATTGCCAATTTACTTTTTAATGTTAGTGGCGATTCACCAAACTTTGCAGTTTTCCATTTTTATAAATAGTGAGTAGATGGTGGTTCAACTGGGATCAGAGGACAAGGCAGACTTTGAAAGCCCAAACAGAGATTTCACCTACTTTCCTCTGAGATTCTCATAAGAATTCTGCCACTTGACCAAAGGACATAAAGTAGATATCATAATTGCCTTTAAATAGCAGAGCAGAGTCAAAAACTTACAACAGGAGGAATGTATACACCCTTCCTCCCCGCTTAGGATCACAGTTGCCCAGAGTTTCTTAAGTGTATATCCCCATATAGAAATATGCATATACAGGTAGTTCTCATTTAGCGATCACAGCTGGGACTTAATAATTTAGTTGTTAAATGAAGCAGTTGCTAAGTGCAACTGTTACAGTGCTTATGATTTTACTTCAGCTTTCTTTTGCTTTATGGATCTATGAATATGAGGACTGGTGGCTAAGTTAGTTTTCCCATCACTGTCATCATTGTGAATGGTCACTAAATGAGGCAGTTGCTAAATGAGGACTACCTGTTGGAACATTGATTTTTTTTGGGGGGGGGGTGTTATGTGTAATCAGACACATTCCTTTGTGGCTGTCCAGGTATTGTACTTTTTCTCCCCTTTCCTTATACATCTTGCTTTGGAATTGAATTTAAGAAGGAAAATGGAAGATTAAATAAGTAAAATAAACATTATTATTTTGAGGTAGTGACAAACTGTTATTGTAAAAAGTTTTGCTCATACCTGTCAGCTCATTATTTGGCCACCATCCCAGCTCACAGGCTTTGCATGTGAACTCATCTTGCACAAATTCATTCTCCTTGCAAGCTGTACAAATCCAGCAGCAGCTCACTTCTCCTTTCCTTATAACCTACAATAAAAATAGATACTTGTTTTTAAATGAAAACCTTTTAATATGATTTCTGAATATGGTATCCCTTTAGCAATATAGTGTGTGACATTACAAATACAGTCTCATAAAGTAATAACAGCAGGCAAATTTTAAAACCTGAATTGATGACTCAACTTATCTGGGCCAAAATAGATCTTCTGCAAGTAAAAACCAAGTGCTTGAGCCTTTGAAAGATCTGTAGCTCCATAACAGACTGAAGGCTTTCAGTCTAATTGTCCTAGGCCTTCTTACCTAGCATTCACCAGAAAAAGGAGTCAAAGGAAAAGTGCCAGAGAAGACCCGATCCTAAAACTCCTGACAGCCAAGTTGGTCTGTAACACTCATCTATAATAAAGATAAAGTAAAGATTTCCCCTGTCCAATTGTGTCCAAATCCAAGGAGTGGTACTCATCTCCTTTTCTTAGCTGAGAGGAATGCAGAAGACTCTTCTGTGGTTATGTGGCCAGAATGACTATATCACAGAATGCTGTTTGCTTCCTGCTGAAATGGTGCCTATTTATCTACATGCATTTGCATGCTTTCGAACTGCTAGTTTGGCAGGAGCCAAAGGGACCTCACCCTGTCATGCAGCGCTCAGGTCTCGAACCTCAACTATCAGCTTTCCAGTGGACAAGCTCAGCATCTTTAATTGCGGAGCCATGGGGCCTCTTACCATCTATAATAATTGTGCCCATATATTACATAGTCAAAAGCAAGCAATATTTTAATTTAACATGATATGCAAATCCAGTCCATGTAAAGACTGAGCTTCAATATGTCTATTGCAACATAGGGCCATTTTGTAGGTCAAATGCAGTTGGAAAGTAAAAGAAGTAACCCAAAAAGTCTATCTTGATTGAAACATTGATGCACACTACTTGGGTATTAGGTAGTGTGCAAAGATATGAAAAGATTTTGCATTTGAATCCTCCTTAGAGTCCATTTTTTGGAGCAAAGAAACTCTAACTGAGGCCTGTCCAACATCTTTATCTAAAGTCTTCAGTTGTAGCCATTTTACTTGTCTCCTCCTTTCAAATAAAACAATAATTCAAGAAGAGATTTTGATTGAGGGACACAGGTCAGGTGGGTTTATTTTGGTCTCTTCTGAAAACATTAATATTACCCATTTTTTTGCAATCGAATAGTGCAGGTCCTTAGTTTTTCTCATAGGACTAAAAAGGAAAGAGCAAATAAAGTATTACTAATAGATATTTCACCAATAGATATTACCCTTCTGTAATACTGCAGCTTTTTATCAGCCATCCTCCTCCACGTAGAATGGAACCATTGTTCTGACAAGCTAACTTTCTGTACATTGTTTGATTCTCATGGTTTTTTTTATGCTTCATGCCAAATGAGCATGGTGGATATCAAATTGTTTTTTAGCAAGATACAAATGGAGTCAGCAGGTAGAGGTTTTGTTCAAATAGAGATTTTGTTTGCAGCTCAAAGCTGCCTATGATGTGGGAACAGAGGAAATGCAGCATGTGGTGTATGTTTTATTCTCCATGTAGGGGAATTGGAGTTATATAACATAATTAACTATCATGTTGTTTAGTAAATGTTATATTATAAAATATGATATAGTAATAGCTGTACCACTTCATAGTGCTTTTACAGGCCTCTCTAAACAGATTAGAGAGTCAGCATATTGCCCCCAACAATCTGGGTCCTCATTTTATTGACCTCAGAAGGATGGGAGGCAGACTCAACCTTGAGCCAGTCAGAATCAAACTCCTGGCAGCAAGCAGACTGAATCTGCAATATCGCATTCTAATCACTGCACAACCTGTGGTGCCAGACATGGTCTGTTCATTCAGAAAAAAAAATACAAACCTATGGAAAGTCTTTTTAATAAAGCAGAAGGCTCTGGCTATATTTTATGGAGATTCTCAGTCATCCAGCACAGTTGTCCCAAAGGTGCTTTTTCAAGAGCAACTGGACTTTCTGGATTTTCTTTTAAAAAGTTTCACTTCAAAAAAGAAAGCAAATGACCAGCTGTATGCAAGGAATATAAATCCTTCTATTCCCTACCATCCAGTCAAAGCTGAAGAAGCTTCTTGGATGAGAAGCAAAACGTTTTCAGAGAAAAATCAGAAAGCCTAGTTGCCTCTTGAAAAAAAAGCAAGGGACTCTGATTATATTCCTTTATTCAAAAACAGAGAGACAACCACTTGTTAGAAAATGAAAGAGATAATGTTTGTAAAACAAATAGGATTGTAGTAGTGGGATGTGATAGGAGGCGTAGTGAAACCGGACAACAGTATATTTTAAGGAGAACACCTCATTTTCAACCCAATTTGTAGTTTTGACTATACTAGGTTTTGATAACAGAGCAATTGTGGCAGCAGTACTGCCCCCAGTAATGCCATTAAGACAGGACTGCAGGTGGGACAGAATGAACATGAAGGAAATAAATTCACATTTACCATTCAATAGACCCTCCTTCCCTCCCCTGCCATCCTCCCTTTCCAAAAGGTGATCAGGAGAAACTTTTCAAGCTAGGGAGACAAATACTATCAGCAAGAAATCTAAGAACTACTAAAAATGAAGGATTAGAAGATGGTAGCAATGACACCAAAGTGTTTCATTTACTTGTGTCTTTAGGGGAGATAACCTTGCTGAATAAAAACATGACAAAAATAAGTGTTTGAAAACACCTTGAAGGAAGGACTTGAATACTGCAATTGTATCCAAGATCTCTGGGACTAAATGTCCCTATTGGTGATGTGATGTGATTTAAACAGAAGAAGAAAAGCTCAAAAAAATGCCACATAGGCTGCATTTCTTAAGGTAAAGTTTAGGACATCTAACACGAAGAAAAATGAGGTCATATATACTGCAAAATCTGGGATAAAACACAATGGAGTTCCATATTAATCATATTAAGACAGGAACCCAGAAAAAGATGCAGCTTATTTAAGTTATTCCTGGCAATACTATGAAGGCACTGATGTACGTTCTCAATCACATTTTTACTTTCAAATTTGCATCTCTGAATCATTAGTTTTATTGAAAAAATTCTGAATTTTGCCTTAATCTAACACTGTTATACATATATTATTTAAGAGTAATTATTTGTGTCACTTAATCTTTTATGATTACATCTATTTTTTTTTCAACAAAAGTTCTTCTATAGGAACAATTACCTTAATTTGACCTTTCAAACATGGATCACTACATACAGACCGGACCATTTCGGTTTTGTTCATTTGAATTCGATTATCATCGATATTCAAGACTCCTTCGTGCCAAGTCCCGATGTGGACATAATCATAACGGTTAGATTCTATCTGTTGCAGGTTCATGATGTCATATCTAGAGAACGGAAAGAAAAAAAAGTCTAATTAAAAAAAATTGCCCTAAGCATTAACATCTCATCTTCTCCTCCTTCAGTCAAAATAGAATAAACCCTTTCCTGCCAATACACAATTTAACGTTACTTTAGAAATTTAACTCTTTGGAAAATGTAACTCTTTGGAAAACGTGCAAAGAAGAGCAGCTTCTTTGAAGAAGAGCAAGATGATTAAGGGCCTGGAGACAAAAACATAATGAAGAATGGTTACAGGAATTGATTATGGCCAATCTAGAGAAAAGAAGGACTCTGGATGGCATGATAGCAGTATTCGGTTCCAATATTTGAGGGGCTGCCACAAAGAAGAGCGGCTCAACTTATTTTCCAAAGCACCATAAGACAAAACAAGAAACAATGGATGGAAACTGCTCAAGGAGAGAAGAAACCTGAAATTAAGGAGAAGCTTCCTAGCAGTGAGGACAATTAACCAGTGGAACGGGTTGCTTTCAGAAGATTTAGGTGCTTCATCACTGGAAGTTTTTAAGAAAAGACTGGACAGCCACCTGACTGAAATGGTATAGGGTCTCCTGCTTGAGCAGGGAGTTGGATTAGATGACTTCCAAGGTCCCTTCCACCTCTATTCTGATTGATGGATTGATTAATTGACCATCCATTATTCCAACCAAAGATAATTTCTGTAGCTCAGGATTGAAATATGGAGATCTTGGTGCTCTCTGCGCTTGGTTGTCTTCCTGCAGAGGTTTCATTCCCTTCCCGACATCCATCCATCCTTCTTTTTATGTAAATGTAGTCCCTAGAGAAAAATGTTTTGACCACCATGCCCTTTGGTCTACTACACTCAATTTAAAGAAATGAAATCACTGGACTGGGCCAGACAGGACAAAAGGAAAACTTGTCAATGTGAAACCATCCAGCATTTCAGGGTCTGGTGTTATCAATATGGTCATCATTCATTCATTCATTCATTCATTCATTCATTCATTCATTCATTCAATTTCTATAGCCACCCTACTTAACTGAGTGACTTGGGATGACTTAGAATTCTATGGTACTCAATGGTACATCATGACCTTGGGCCAGATTTCCACATTTTGTCTCAATGTCTAAAAGTTGTGTGAGTCTGGGTGGATTAGTACAGATTTAAACTGAATCCAAGCAAGACTAAGCTACTTGTACATCATGTTCTTTCCCATATCCTGAAGAAGCAGGTCTGTGACTCAGCATGTAGATCTCAATGGAACAACCACTACATGGAGAGAAGCATGCAGTGGGATACTTCAAGGTTCTTTCTTGGCCCCAGTGCTCTTCAACATCTTCCTACAAGTAATCCTTGACTTACGGTCACAATTAAACTCAACATTTCTATTGCTAAACAAAATAGTTGTTAAGTGAGTTTCCCCCAATTTACAACCTCTCTTGTCACTATTGTTAAGTGAATCACCGCAACTGTTAAATTAGCAATAGTTTTTAAGTGAGTCTGGCTTCCACATTGACTTTGTTTGTCAGAAGTTCACAAAAGGGGATCACATGACCCCAGGACATACAACCATCATAATATGAACCAGTTACCAAGCATCCAAAGTTTGACCGGGAGTCTGTACTGGTCATAAGTGTAAAAAATGGTGATAAGCCACTTTTTTTCAGTACAGTTATAACTTTGAACAATTACTAAATGAATGGTTGTAAGTCGAGGATTACCTGTAAATGATCTTGATAAGGAGATAGAACTCATCTAATCTGCAGACAACACTACGCTGGGAGGAATTGCTAACACTTTGGAAGATAGACTTGAGATTCAGAAGGATCTTAACAGATTTGAGCACTGAGCCCTTCCAACAAGATACAATCGATTAAAGTAAGACCCTACACTTAGGCAGGAAAAACAAAATGGATGAGTATATAATAGATGGAACCTGGGTCAATAATAGTTAACTGGGAGAGGATCTAAGTGTATTAGTGGACCACCACTTAAGTACCAGCCAGTAATGTGCTTTTGCTTTCAAAAAAGCCAATGCAGTCCTAGGTTGGATCAACAGAGGGATAGCATCAAAATCATGAGAAGTGATAGTATCACTCTATATCACGCTAGTGAGGTTGCACTTGGAATACCGCATCCAGTTCTGACCCTGAGCAAAATGCTCCTCTGGTTATTTTCCATTTAGTAGTCACTCAAAGTCTCATGGAATTTGCATGTCTGAGCATTACAACCCTAATTTTAACCAGATACAAAAAAGATGCAAGGTTCTTTTATTACAATCAATTTCAATAAAAAAATAGCTTTAGTCTTTCTGTGGAATTGATTCCTGATCATATTTACCCGGTAGGCCTTTCACATAATAAGTGTTGGTTTCTATGTAATGATATATTCCCTTTATCAGTATTTGAGATGAAGATCCTATTCGATATCAGAGATAGATTTTTGAGAGCATATTTAACTTTTGTGGAATTACTGGGTATGCATGCTGAAAAATGTGTTAATTCACTCCTCTTGGGGCAATCAAAAATTTCTTGTTATAAAATGCCAAGTGAAAAGCAAATGAAAAAATGCTTTATGAGAAACAATTAGCAACCTGGAGATGTGAATAAATAAAATATGGTGATGTATTAAAAAGAGTAAAAAATGTAAAGTAAGTATGCATTGTCTTCTGAGTAAATTATATAAATTATACTGACAAATTATACAGACAGATTTCTATAAGCAAGGAAATAATAGCAAGGCAAAACCAGTTATCTATTAATCTGTGGGATGTCTGTGAACTTCATTTTTGGCAAGGAACTGCTTCCATTCTTATTGAAATGTAGTTTAGAATTGTATACCTAATTTATAGGAAACTAGATGCTTATGAAGTAATATTGGCAAGAAAGATGCATTTTAAAAGTCTTCACATTATTGATTGATCCAGGGAACCCTAAGGGTTACAAACAAACCATGGATTATTTCTCCTCCTCCTCCCCCTCCCCATCTAGATACTCCTATTTTCAAGCTGCTGCCTGCAATACCAGAACTGAATTAAAAATTTACAGTGCAGTTCAAAATGGATTTAGAGTGAGGAAGTATATTTACTCCCACAACTAAAACTTTGTTACTCTACTGATCCTTGAATCTTCCTGCCTTCTATAAACGGAAAGCTAATGTATTCATCTTGAACTGCCCCATCCTGTCTTTGTTAAATGGGTGAAAGTCTAAACAATATCGTATTTTCTCTGACTTCAGGAAGTTACATAGAATGCACAGCAAGAATATTGGGACTAAAAAAATAAACATAAAAATAAACAATCATAATAATAACTGGGGCATAGCTTTAATAAACAAAGTTTCAAAAGGAAAGGATGAAACAGTGAAACTTGGGCTTGAAGCATGAGCCAAAGGGCCTCTTGTCCAGTGGTGGTATTCAAATTCTTTTACTACCGGTTCCGTGAGCATGGCGTGGCTTGGTGGGTGTGGCTTGGTGGGCGTGGCTTGGTGGGTGTGGCTTGGTGGGCATGGCAGGGGAAGGTTACTGCACAATCTCCGTTCTCTCCCCACTGCAAAATCCCATTCCCTCCCCACCCCGCTAACCTGCTTTCCAGCTCCGTTCTCCTGTGCAGGGTAACAAAAGAATACCCAGCAGATCATCTGGGACTCGGGAGGCAGAGAATAGATGGGGGCGGAGCCAGTCAGAGGTGGTATTTGCCGGTTCTCCAAACTACTCAAAATTTCCACTACTGGTTCTCCAGAACTGGTCAGAACCTGCTGAATACCACCTCTGCTCTTGTCCCTTGGTGTCCATTGCCTGGATGTATTTGCATAAGAGCAAGCAAGTCAGCCCCGTTCTTCTTTTGCAGGCTATCAGGAAGTATTCCCTGCTCAAAGACTTGCCTTACAAAAGATTTCTGGAGGTAACTTGCACTTCTGCTGCTTATCAGACAGAACAAGACTTATGCAAAAAAAAAAAAAAAGTAGTGACAAAATGTTGAAACTAATGGAGCAGAATAGAAGAAAAAAAAAGAGAAGGAATCACTAGCAAGTCTAGACAGACAAGCAGGCATTTGAGAGATAGAGATGAGGAATAAAATGTTGTGGGTGGCAGACAGAGAAGTGTTTTGATTGAAATTCAGAACGAGGAGAAAACTGCAACCAGAAGCTGTGATTTTTATTTTCTATTTTGGGGGACTAGAAATTGTAAGAGGAGAAGGGCAGATCTGGAGCTGCAGCACCCCTGATGGCAGCCAAGAGATAAGAGAAAGCTTACTCCTTGACTGCCATCTACTGGTCATCAGGATTGCAGCAGTCCAGATCCATTGCAAGTAGTCCACTTACTGACTGCCTTGTGTACAGCAATGGGGAAAAAAAGGCCCACTTTGCAATCAATCATCATATTTATGGTTGTTATGGCATTCAGCAGTCACATGATCACGATTCATACGCATCACAACCCGCTTTCTACCAGCAGAATTAATGGAGAAGGCAGAAATAAAATCATATGTTTTGGTCACTTGAACGTTTTGCTTAGCAATCATGCCACCTCGCTTAACAATTGAAGAGGAAGTGAGGCCAGAGGTCACGTGACTTTCTGCATAGTGGCTGCATAGCAACTAAGTTTCCAGTCCCAACTGTTGTTGCTAAGCAAAGACTACCTGCACACACCTGGCCTATTTTCTGCCAAAGTCATGTTTCTTTGGGGCAGTCCTTTGTCTATCAGGTTGATGGACACAGAACAAGGGGAGGGTTCTTTTTTTTTTAATGCCATGATAAAGTGAGACAAAGAACACCCAGGCAGGTAGCTGAGTCTTCAACAGTATACAGGAAGAAAAAAAAACCAAGTACAATTTTGTCAAACAAATTTTGGAAAATAAAGCAGTGCCCTTAGCAAAGAAACTGGAGATTTTCAATCATCCAGGTCAAGGTTGTCCCAAAGGTGCTTTTCAAAAGGCAAATGGAATTTCTTGTTTTTTTCCTTGAAAATATTTCACTTCCCATCCAAGAAGTTATTTTCAATTCTGAGGAAGCTTCTTCAGGAAA